ATGATTACTTCTTTTTTGGGCAGCTTTCTGAAGTGCGCATAGTTTATCTGAATAGATTCGTGCAGGAGGTAACACAACTTTCATTTGTTAATTATCTGTTTTACTTTGTTCCCTACTGTCTAACTTTTGGTTTGTAGGTTGTTCACTATTTTATGGGTCTCGTTCCCAACACTCCAAAAGGTGTTGTCCGATTAAAAGATCAAGTAACAAATTCTGAGAAGTGGTTTACAACTAGTGAAATTGAAGGATCACCTGCTTTGAAGTTGGACCTATCCCTTAGAAAACCTATAATATTAATGCCTCGGCGTACAGACAGCCTTGAGTATGTATATAATAGCTTCTAGTCTAAACATTAGGTTTTTGTACCTCTTTAATCAGTAGCGAACCGATGTCGGCCATTATTCTGTTTTAATAAATATTTGGTCATGCTTGTTGTAACTACTTGAAAGTTTTGCAGTTTCTTGAGGCTTGATGTTGTTCATATAACTGTTCACAACACTTTCAACTGGTTTGGCGGCAACAAAAATGAGCTGGGCGCAGTTCATTTGGAATTATTGATGATTATGGTGAGAAAAATGATTAGCCTTTATGTTGTGAGCTGATTGAATCTGTGGATCTTAGCCAGGTTGCTAGTTTTATTCATTGGATGATGATTTTTAAAAATAAATGATGGGCAATAATTTTTTTTTCATTCCTGTGATGTTTTTTTTTTCTTTTTTCTTTTTTCCACTTCACCATACATCTTCTTGGTAATATTCTTTGGGCCGGACATAGGTTGAGAATATCAGTTTAAATGTCGGCACGGGATCAGAGTTAGGTGAAAACATAATTCAAGATGTCAAGGGGGTTTCTGTAGTCATTCGAAGAGCATTACGAGACTTGTTGCATCAGGTACCAAGCACGGAAGCTACAATCAAGGTAACAGTTCCTTTTTGTGCTGCTGCTGTCTGAAGCACCCATAGATTTTGTTGGAGTTGGATAAAAAAAGGTTTTATCAGATCAGTCAATTTATTGTTTTTGTGGTTCTGCAGATAGATGAGTTAAGAGCAGCACTTTCGAATAGGGAATACCAAATTGTTATGGAGTGTGCACATTCTAATATTTCTGAAACTCCAAATGTTGTCCCACCATTGATCAGTAATCTCGTGAGTTCTTCTGATGATGCAGTGGAAACTATTATTCCCAAAGATCCAGCTCTTGTTGAATCTGAAACAGTAACCAGTGAGGCCTGGATTACAATGAAAGTTTCCATTATTATCAATCTGGTTGAGTTGTCTT